CATTCAGATCACATTCCACTCCCCAACATCTTCTTGAAAAACACTGTGGCATCTGCTTTCCCTCAACATGCGTTTCCCAACCACCCACACCCTGACCTCGCTCCTTGCCCTCCTTCCCCTCACTTCCATCGCCCTTAACATCATCGTAAACAACGATGATGGTTTTGGCTCCGCCAATATTCGCGAACTTTACCGCCTTCTCAATGTCGCCGGCCACAACGCCTGGATCGTCGCACCCGTCTCGAACGAATCCGGAAAAGGAGGCACCGAAGTCTTTACCACCGAAGCAAATTTGACCGCACCTTCTGAGTTCGACCTCGTTCCTAAAGGCGCCCCTAGCTTCGGCACCGATCCTAACGACTCGCACATCTGGTACTACAACGGTACGCCTACTGCCTGCACCTTCTTCGCTCTGGACTATGTTGTGCCCAACTACTGGAACGGCACTAAGCCGGACCTCCTGGTGGCTGGGCCCAATTTCGGCCAAAACCTAGGTCCCTTCCTGTACACCCTCTCCGGCACAATGGGCGCCACCTACGCAGCCGTCGAGCGTTCCCTCCCAGCCATCGCGTTCTCAGGTGGCAACAACGGCCAGCGCTCCTACAAAGAGATTAACAAAACCACTCCCTCTGGCTTCCCCGACCCCGCTACCGTCGACGCCCAGCTTTCAGTCGCACTCGTAAACCAACTCGCTAAGAATGGATTAAACAAGTCTCAATTGCTACCTCTCGGCTACGGCATCAGCGTTAACTACCCCGAAATCACCTCCCTCACGAATGACGATTGCGTTAACCCGCCTTTCGTCCAAACGCGCATAACCGGCGGCGCTGAGGTCGATACTGCCGTCTACGATTCTACCACTGGCCTTTTCAGCTATGGCGAGGTTCACCCCGCTGGAGCCAACACGTGTATCAATGGCGACTGCGCCCTGCCTGGTGAGACTACCATCGTCAACAGTGGATGCTTCAGCTCTGTCAGTGTGTTCACAGTCGACTACGATGCGCCGAACCCGGGCAGCAAGAAAGCGAGGAAGCTTTTGGAGCCCTTGGTCCAGCGTTGGAATGCCACGGCGAACTCGACGGTTACTTCTCGGAGACTGCGAGCTCGCGCGAATAGGTCCGCGAGATTGGTCGGGAATGCAGCTTGAGTCAGTGGCTGGAGCTTGGGAAGAGGAATCGATGTAGATAGGGCGTAGATCATTAGAATAAATTGTATGCTTGTATGTTGGACGGGCCAAGAATGCAATATTGACGCCACAACGACCGTTGACTCTGAGCACGATGATATCTTTCTCAACATGTTTGAACACACTAGCCGCAGTTTTCTCAGTCTCTCAGAGTCTCTGTACAGATGAAGCTAAAAGTGCACATCTCTGTGCTCTCTGTAAGATACGATGTATGCTAAATCTTCACACCTTCCAAGATAGGTCTTGCCTCCTCACTCCTCCAAAACCCCCCTTCTTCCCCCGGAAAGCCGTACTTCTCCATACTCTCCTCCTTCATCTCGACGCTATACCCGGGCTCTGTAGGAGTCTGGTAGTACCCGTTCTTGATAACGGCAGGATGGTTGAAATGCTCATGCAGATGGTCTACGTATTCCAGTATCGAGAGCTTGCCGGAAACACATACGTAATCGATGGTGCTGAGGTGCTGAGTGTATTCACTTGATGATTTCAGGAGTCAGCATTACTCTTTCGGGAGGGATTCTGGAATCGCGAGACATGTTTTGGGAGCAGAGAACTCTGGAGACATCTTTGACGACTGATAGCGTGTTTGGGGTAGAATTGCCTCGGAAATTATAACGTACGGTAGACCCACGCCGCCGGAGTGGGGGACGATTGGGATGTCGAATCTGGCACATGTGTCAATCAGCGCTGCGGTTTCAAAGCGTTACACACGTCCAGAATGAGGGGCGAAAGGGACAATGCATACTTCTTCGCCATCAGCATAACAGCCAAAACCTCATTGACCCCACCCATTCTACACGCATCAATCTGACAAATATCAATCGCCCCGCCCATCAACAACTGCTTGAACACCACCCGATTCTGACACATCTCCCCTGTCGCAACCCCAATCCCATACTCCTTCAACGCTTCCCTGATCGCCTTGTGCCCCAAGACATCATCCGGACTCGTAGGCTCTTCGATAAACCACGGCTTGAAGGGCGCAAGCTCTTTCATGTATGCGATGGCTTCGGGTACGGACCAGACTTGATTGGCGTCAATCATTAGGATATTGCCGCGGTCGTAGCCGATAACATTGCGGGCGATGGTGAGGCGGCGGATGTCGGAGGAAATGGAGGTGCCGACTTTGAATTTGAAGTGTTTGTAGCCTTCTTCGAGTGTTTCTTGCAACAGACGTTCCATTTTGTCCTCGCCGTAACCGAGCCAGCCAGCGGAGGTGGTGTAGGCGGGCACTGCGTGGTTATTTTCTGCTTCTTGAAGTCGTTGGGCTTTACCTGATTCCTCTTTGCACAACATCTCAATGGCTTCTTCAGGTGTGATGGCGTCGGTGATGTAGCGGAAGTCTACACAGCGTACGAACTCTTGCGGGCTCATCTCGGCTACAATTCGCCAGACGGGTTTTTGCAGCACTTTAGCCCAGAGGTCCCAGAGAGCGTTGACGACGGCGCCGAGGGCGAGATGAATGACACCTTTCTCGGGGCCGATCCAGCGTAGTTGGGAATCCGAGACGAGGTAGCGCCATGTTTGACCCCAGTTCGCCGTCAATGACTCTAGAGTACGACCTTTCAGGCGGGTAGCGAGATTCTCAATGGCGAGGCAGACAATGTCGTTACCGCGGCCAATGGTGAATGTCTGTATTGGAAACATTCAGCTAGAATTGGGCGTTGCGGGTCGGAAGAAGGACCATGCCATGTCCGGTATGTGGGGAGTCTGTTTGTAGGATGCAGTAGGCTGACGAGTAATCACCTGCTGGGTTCATGGCGTCCGAGCCCGTCTTGTCCAGGGAGGTCTATTTTATTCAGCCATTGACTGATTTTCTCATTGGTGGTGAGACTCACAGGAAACCTGACGTCCTTCGAGGCGAAGCATGTGATTGTGACCATGATGGATGCAAGCGGAGCGAATGGCTGCTATCGATGTGTTGCTGCATCAAATTGTTCGAGTCTCGCAATGAGCTGCTGGTCCCCAAAACTAGGCTCTGAGGTGTTTTTGAAGCCATAGTAATTTCTTATTTATCCGTGGGGCAGAATAGGCTGATTGAGAGTTTGTTTGCTAGGGGGTCGTTGGTGACGTTGAAATTTGGCAGAGAGCTGCGGATCGGCACGAGTTAGTCTTTTCAGGTATCTTACTCACGGCCACTACCCGGATCTCGGCTAAGCCCATCAGCGTGTTCCTCCGTACTTTAGTCCGGTGGTAGTGGTGGGTCGGAAAAAGCTTTTTTCCGGGCCGAAATCTCGTAATGCTTCTGCGGGTATGACGGAATCGGCTCGGCAATATAATGTTCCGCCGGCCCCCCCCCAAAAATAGAGTCTGAATTCTGAGACTACCACTGAGACTAGTTCCTCCATTGCAAGTTCTCCATCTGCTCTATGACTGTCTCGAAGACTGTATCACGACGTATGGACTGCAAGCAGCCTTGACTCTTGGGACTGTCCTTTGGAAGCCATACCTCCGTGCCCAGTTATGTGAATCTTTTCGATTGACTAAAAAAAGCGCAGTTTCTTTGCGAACAAAGAAAGCAGCTCATTCATCAAAGAATCTTAATTTATCGATCCATCATGGAAGTACCACATTCGAGTTTTGCCATCATCATAACCCGGAAACAAGTGTTCGACGAGTCAAACATAGTCAATCTTCGCTACTCGTAGTGCGACGCTCTTGATCTGGCGAATTCACCACTTCGGAAAGGAAATTAACAACGAAAGGGGATTCAGTCGCAGTGACGATATCAATTTGTATACATACACCAGAACTCAGGAGTGATTTTTTCCACTGCTGTCGGAGGTTATTCAAGGCGCTCCAGTTCTAGGCTTGCGCCTAGAACATATCCGTGTATCCAAACCGGATTTCTCTCTCATTATTCGTGGACATCTGCTATGCCTGGCCGCGACATATAAGAAGCAGAAAGATGTTTTCTGATCTGGCGAGGGTATTGCCAAGTAGAATACCTATAAGCCTTTTGGTTGGAGAAAGATCAAGATGTGAGCACTCAGCTAATACTGAAAACGCAGAAGGACCAAATGGGCGTAATTGCTGCCCTCTTCTATCCGGGGTTTCGATTCATTAGCACTCACTGCAATGCTCGCAGCACCTTTTCTGGACGCGCACTGACATCGTGTAACTTATCTCTGCCGTTTCTATGTACGAGCCCAAAGTTCAGTTTCCCGCGCGTCCCCATGAAAGCACGATTGTGGGGGCCCATTCGCTATAGTCAGGCCTCGACCTGTTTTCCGCAAAGCTTATTGGCTACTGTTATATTCTATTACCTCGAATGGGCAATCTAAAGATCGATGGACTTCAACATCTCAACTGCTCGCCACAATCATTGACCAATTTGAGTTCCACCCGTGGTACAACATACTGTTAAAACTGATCATCATGTACCCCTGGCCTCAGACTTCCCGTCTCCCAGGTGGCCCAATCACTTTCCTTCCTCGCGGAATGCACATTCCCCGTACCATGTTTTCGCTCTTTCATTTCGTAAGAGTCGTCTTTAGTGGTCGAGAATGTATGTTTTGACTTGCGTCGCCGTGCTTCAGGTCTGCTGGGGTTTTCAGAGGTAGGCCGAAGGTAAGCCAGGAGCTGTGACCAAGCTCACATCTCCCCCCCAAAGTATAAAAAGCATTGTAAAACCTTTTCTTCTCCAATTTCGTTGTTTTGTACTTCCCCAGCATCTTGCAAAGTCTCCATAACACATCAATCAGCGTCCCCACAACTTGTACTCTGCCAACTATTTCTCATTCCGCCCTTCTTCCCCAAGCAAACCCTATCCTCCAACAGCCCCTCAACCGAAAACCCCAACCCTAACGCCGCCATGGTCGCTCGCTCCACCGTTCTCCTAGCCCTCTGCGCAGGCTTCTTCACCGCCGCCACCGCCCTTCGAGCTCCGCAAGACGGCTCCGATCCGATTCCAGAACTCGGGAGATGGAGGTATTGGCGACTTCAGCAGTGCTCTCGGAGGTGACTCGGACTCTGATGTGGAGTCCGATCGGGGTGGTGTTGATGGATTGGATGACTTCTTTGGGGATGAGAAGGACTAGTTGGCTTATCGATGGGTTCGCATTTTGAATGTGGGTTTTCTTTTTAACGATATAAAGGAGTGCGTACGATTGGTTCTTTCACGTTTGCAGGCCGGCTCTGTATCGCACTTCGAAGCAAAGAGATAGTGCAGCATACGAGTCTATGTTTTTTTTTTCGGATAGGATATAGGGTGGTAGGGAAAACGACGGAGCCGTGCTTGTGTTGCTCATCGATCACCAATCGTATTAATAATCACGATTCATTATTATAATTCTATCCGTAAACGTATAGAAGATCATCTTCTCGAGTCGCGTTTGGGGAGACGGAAGCCGCTCTGCTTGCATGAGGAGATCTGGAATCATCGAGCGTGCCGACAGTCAAGAGCTTGCTCTCGGTCTAAGCTCCAGGGGAGTCGAGGGAGCGATGGTTTCGTAAATGTGAGAAATACTGGGGAATTGCGTTTGCTTTTACTATCGTCGTTTGTTTTCACGCAGATTCATGTAGACGGTGACCCGAAAAAGTTCACGGCCTCCGATTCTGCTGTGCTAATGTAGTCAGGCTCGCTGATGGGAGAAGGGGCAATTGTAGTGTTCATTATTTCCTTGGAGATTGTCTGATACCAAGAGCTTAGAATGCTTTCTTGAGTATGCAGTATTATGTTGAGTACTCATTACAGATAAAACGACCAGACACCTCAACAATGTAGCCAGCGCTGGCTGAAACCGAAAATCTCATCACTCATACAGCCATTATTTTACCCAAGATCCTTCATCAAACACTCTGGATGCAGCCGTCCCGTTTTGCAAATGCTGTCCAAGTCGTGATCAGACCCTCCAAATGGCATCCGCCATCGCCACCACCTGCCCCATCTCACTCACATCGTGTACCCGCACGATGTCAGCTCCTCCTTGTATCGCCGCGGCGACAGTCGTTGCGGTGCCCCATTTTCTCTCCTTTGCATCCTGCACCCCAGTGATCTTCCCAATAAACCCTTTCCTGCTGGCACCAACAACCCAAGGGAAGCCCCTGAGGCCTTCAAAGTCTCTCAGTTCTGAAAATCTGCGGAGCAGCTCCAAACTCTGGGCTTGCGTCTTCGCGAAGCCTATTCCAGGATCAAGCATTATGCGCCATCGGCGGATACCCGCTTTCTCGGCGTCGCGGACACGCTCCAGAAGTTCGTTACCGACTCCGTTAATCACGCCGTCCGGGTAAGAAATCAAGGTGTTCATTGTCTCAGGGGTGCCGCGCATGTGCATTAAGATGCATGTGCAGCCAAGCTTTGCTATTGTAGGCAGCATTTCTGGGTCTAGCTGGCCAGATGAGACGTCATTGATGATATCCGCACCTGCCTTGATTGCTTCAGCCGCCACGGACGCGCGGTAGGTGTCTATGGAGATTGCCATCGTTTGGAAGGAAGGGTCGGAGCGAATTGCTTCGATGGTGGGCAGGATCCGGGAGAGTTCTTCGTCCGGGGATATTTGAGGGGCATGGGGGCGAGTCGACTGACCACCAACATCGAGGATGGTGACAGGATGCCGTTGGTTTGTGTAGGAACGCAGAGTATCCAAGAGTGGTATAGGATCTGCGGTTGAGTGGAGACCGCCATCAGAGAAGGAGTCAGGGGTCAGATTCAATATGGCCATAAGATGGGTGGGCCGTGTCGGGGATTGATTTCGTATCGGAGGGAGATAATCTGACAGTGGGGTCATAGCTGATAGCGGATCTGTAGATTCGGGCAGTTGTTCGAGGATATCTTGATATGTAGCGATCGAATCAGGCGTAGGTGGAATGGAATTGGGTATGAGACTAAGGATACAGTCAATTATCCAACATTTCGATGCATGGCATCTTGACTTACTCGCATAGAGGCCGAAGAACAAATTCACGTTCAAGCATTCTCTTATGGGGTATAGAGAGACGTAAGTTCTCCACCCGCTCTTCGTCGTACAGCAAAATATCCAAGTCGATGGTCCGAGGTCCATTCTCTACAGTTTTCACTCTTCCAAGATCATGTTCGATCAGCTTTAGTTGGTCTAGTAACCCCAATGGGCTTAGCGATGTTTCAATCTAGTCATGTCAACACTACCTTGGACGGAATTTCGCATCAGTGCTACATACCTCGCAAGCACCGTTGATGAATGATTGCTGGTTCTCTAAATACATTGGTTTGGTTTCATATAGAGCACTCGTTCGAAGTACAGTGATCCCTCGATCACTCATCTGTCGGACGGCCGACTCGATCATCTCGACGCGATTGCCTAGATTGCTTCCAAGTGCGAGGTAGACTCGGTGCCGTCCATCTTGAACATCGCTGCTGAGCAAGCTACGCTGAGATCGCTCGTATTCATGACGTTCAAGGTGTACGCTACAACTGGTAGCATAATCGTTGTCGAATCTTTTTTTTAACCTTTCGACCATTGCTTCTCTTTTGGTCCGGGGTCCCTCCATCAGCGGCGATACTTCTCTCATCGCCACACGAACATTTTGAAGGCGTTTGCATGGAGATTGTTTATCGGCCAGGTGGAATAAACACTGCGCAAGCAAAAGTGCCGCACCTTCTGCTCTGTCACTTTGAAGCTGTTCGGCAAATCTTGCTACCTCCTCATGAAGGCCGAACGTTGGATGTACATGAGTGAGACTCGAACGAGAGCTGGTAAGTTCCAAGTGACCGTAAACTGTCGATACACTGCGCTCTACGGTCTGTAATACTAGCAAGATCACATATCCCGATTGCGGTGGACTCGGCAAGTGCCACTCGGTGGTGACTCGGTATATGCTGTTCTGCTCAGCAGTAAGACGTTTGCTGCGAGGATTGACTTTGGAAAAACTGCACTCTGCTCCAATGAGGTTTTCAATTTTGAAATTTTTTCGGATATCTGGTTGGAAGACGATAAGGGTCTCCAGAGCTGCAGGATACGTGGCTAGGAGATCGGAAGCAAGGCTCTCTGTGATGTCATGGATCGAGCAGAAAGGCGTGGCATGCGTTCGCACCAATGACACGACATTGAGCACTTCCGCAGTCCTTTTACGGAAGTCCGAAACGTAGTAGCAGCCTGGGGGTGAATGCACATGAACATCTGTTCTGTAGAAATTGGGATTGGCTCGAGGGCCAAAGCGACTATTGGACCAAATCAGATCTCCTCTGGAAAATTCACACGCCAATGCCATCCACGCATACCTCGAATCTAAACGAATATTTTTCAGCGAAAACCTCCAATGGTATGTCTTAGCACGTTGGATAGGAACATGACTCAGCAGACAACGGCCGAATTGTAACCGTCTAAGTACAGGGAGAGATGAAGCACATGTGGAAAGAAGTACACCATGATGCATGATGCATCATGGGAAAGTTGATAAGTTTATAGCTACTCTTCTCTTCGCAAGATCGTTCGTGTCACCAGACGGGTCCCCAACTCAGCATCGTCACGAATTCCCTATTGCAGTTTCCAGCGCCAATAAAGTAGCGCCGGCCCCGCAAAAACATACCTCGGCATCTACCAGATCTTACTTACTTTACATTACTCAGAGCATTGTCCACTGCTTCATCATCTCGCTCCCTTCTTTCTTCCTCTCCCAACATATCCTGATCTCCACTACCTATAACAAAATACATACGCCCATCAGTAGAATACCACTCACTCAACATGGCGTCTCCACGTAGGTCAAGCCTTTGGTGTCCCCCCACCCCCATTCTCCCCCGCAACTCGAAGACTGACACTCCTCCCAGAGCAACTCCGAACAACGGTCACCGACCTCCTCAAAATCAACCACCCTGTCATGCTTGCCGGCATGAACGTAGCCGCAGGTCCAAAACTCGCAGCTGCAGTCACTAACGCTGGCGGTCTCGGCGTCATTGGAGGCGTCGGCTACACGCCAGATATGCTGCGGGAGCAGATTGCCGAGCTGAAGGGTTTCTTGAAAGACAAGAATGCACCATTTGGTGTGGACCTTTTGATCCCGCAGGTTGGTGGTAGTGCCAGGAAGACCAAGTACGTTTGAATCCTGCCCCATTCTCTTTGCCAACAGAATCCCAGCCTCGCCTTCTACCAGCAATGCTGATTCTATCGTATTTGAAGCTACGACTACACAAAAGGGAAACTGGACGAATTAGTAACCATCATAATCGATTCCGGCGCTAAACTCTTCGTCTCCGCCGTCGGCGTGCCCCCAGTCCACGTTGTCCAACGCCTGCATAAAGCCGGAATTCTCTACATGAACATGATCGGGCACCCAAAGCACGTGCAGAAATGCCTCGATGTAGGCGTCGATATGATCTGCGCCCAGGGCGGTGAGGGAGGCGGACACACGGGTGACGTGCCTACTTCGATTTTGATCCCGACGGTGGCGCAGATGGTGAAAGGGAAGAAGAGCCCGATGACGGGGGATCAGGTGCAGGTTGTCGCGGCCGGAGGCCTCTTTAACGGACAGAGTCTCGCAGCGGCACTGATGTTAGGGGCGAGTGCTGTCTGGATCGGCACCAGGTTTGTTCTGTCGGAAGAAGCCGGTGCGCCCAAGGCGCATCAAGAAGCTGTTCAGACATCCGGCTTTGACGACAATGTGAGGACCATCATCTTCACCGGTCGACCCCTGCGCGTCCGCATGAACCCCTACATCCAGAACTGGGAGGAGAACCGCGCCTCCGAGATCAAGGAACTTACATCCAAGGGCACCATTCCCGTGGAGCATGATTTCGAAACCCTCGGAGATGACATCGACGATGATACGATGGATAATGCTCGGCCGTTCTTGATGGGCAAGGCGGCCGCTGTGGTCAATGAAAAGAAGAGCGCAAAGGCTATTGTGGATGAGATGGTTACGGACGCGGTGGGATGGTTGGGGAAGGGTGGGTCGATGGTAGTCGGTGGACAGGATGGGAAGAGCAAGTTGTAGAGCTTTTGGAGAAGAAGAATGTAGGTTACAATTTAGATGACGGATGGCTAGCAAAACGATGGAGCCTTTGTGTCTTCTTTGTAATCGCGAGCAATGACTCACTTTCGAATGAAGATGATCTCGCCAAATAGAATAGAATACTACATTTACTGAAGCTCAAGCGCCTTGAATCCACCCCAAAGCTTAAGGAAAACCATCCCACGAAGCAGATCGTAGCACATCACTCGTCTACCTTGCTTACCACCAATGCTCAGACGGTGAGAGTTTTGGAATTGATGCATCGGTTTCTTTTGGCAAAGACGGGTTCCGCCCATGGTATGGACACTCGCCTGTCCCTCCAGACTTGTGCTTCGGATGCCTCGGACACAACGGACTGTTGGGCAAATGCTCCGGCACGCTGACTGCAAGCTGCTCCCGAGTTATCGAGTCCGCTTCGATGGCATGCATCTTGACCCTGTACCAATCGCTATCCCTGCGCGGCCCGCCTACTCGTGCGTTTGCCTCCGCCGGTGGATCAGGAAAGCCTGGGGTGGGTGGTACGTTGTAGTCGAAGAAGAAGCCTCTCGTTTTTCCGATGCCGGCGCTCCTTGTGTCGGTCGGCAGTGGCGGTGTGTGGATCCTGTGGGCTTCGGAGGGTAGGAAGGCCACGCCCTCTTCCGTCAGGTCTACGGCGACGTATTTGTTGGAGTCGGAGCCTGTGTACATCGCTTCGGGCTCTGGGGTGTGGATTGGTGGCTTCCCCATCAGGATTCCGCGAATGGAACTGGAAGTGGAAAGTCCTACTTTGCCGTGGCGGCTCACGATGCGTTGCCAGCGTGGAGCGGCGATGGACAGGTTACTGACGCTGTTTGTTGAGCCTGGCGAGGGCGTCCTTCTATCCGGCAAAACCCGCAGTGTACTTGAGACTCGGTCGAGTAGATTGTCTGTAGAGCTTCTCTCTTGGGATTCAGAGATGTCAGGGTCTGTAGGGCCGTGCTTGAGGCCCAAGGCGCGCTTTGTCCGGCAGTAGAGACCTTCTTTGGGTGTGAGGGTAGCATAATGCAAGGAATCCCGGCTTTCAGGTAGCAGGCGTTGCTCGCTTGCTGCATTGAATGACCGATCACGGCCATCAAGATCTGTACTTGTCGAACCTCGGCTGAGAGGAAGAGTGATTGCTGAGCGCTGGCCTAAGGGAACAGGAGTTGCTTCTCCAGAGGCTTGCACTGAATGCTCAGCAGACTGTTCCCGGCGCCCGATTCGAATCTCAAGCCAACGGCCTGAGAACTCGCGCTTCCATTTGAAGCCAATTCTTGCCTTGCTTGGGGGCTGCTCGCCTCCAGCACCGGGAGTGATGCGAGTATCGGGTAAGCCCAGAAGCCTTCGCGTTCGCAAGCTAATTGATGATGATTCAGAGGCAGTTCTATTTCTTGGTGGGGCAGGCCCTTCTTCGATGATGAGGGGAACTTCGCTAGAGGGCGAAGAAACGTTGCTGGTTTCTCGAGGCGATGTGGCACTGACATCCGAATGGTAGCTTCGCCTCTCTGCTTGTTTCGGCCGTTGGCGCGCAACAAAAGGAGACGGAGACGCCAATGGTGTGTTTGAGGCCGGACTCGAATTTGCACTTTCGGAGCTTCGGAGCGCTCGACGCTGCGCAGCAATGTAGTTGCTTGGAGTGGTTAATGGGGAAGGAGTACTGGTCGGGCTAGCAAAATCTGAGCGACGAACCGCGCGAGGTCTACCAAAAAGGTTGCCGAAATCAGAGCTTGGAAGACGGTCTGGAGCGTTTGGGCGATTGAGGGATGGCATGATTAATATAATTCACGCGCTTGGGACATTAAAGTAAAGTTACATAATGAGAGCCTGTGATAGTGGAGTTAGGAAAAATGCGTAAAGGTGTTGAAGGCTGTAAGACTAAGGGGACTCAAAGGATAGTAGTTCTCCATTAGAAAGAAGAGCCATAGGGCCCTCTGATCTCCGTAAAGTTCCTGATCTAGCAGGCGCGACCAACGCGTACTACTCATGGAATTCGCCTGGTAGTTAGGTCGTTACAACCAAATCAATCTGTAGCATTGACAGCTCCAAGTGCAGAGGAAAGCCCCGAGCGGATGAAGACGTGTTGACATAGCGACTCCAATATCCGCAGTACTGTTGAAAAGGCAGTCTCTCAGATGGGAATCCTAACGCTCGATGTACCCACAGTCTGCTATTCAGTGCATCAGGCCAGCTCGAATCCGCTTCCTTGGATTGTACGTTGCGGTGATCTTTTAGGCTCGTAGTTCAGCTAACTTCGGTGAGCTTTATAGAGGAATAAGGCGTCTGTGCGGACACTAACCATCGGTCGCCCACACTCTCGCCCAAACCATTGCATCCCCACTTCTCCATCTCGTCCTCCCAGAGCTGGAGACACTGACGACACAAGTGGAGACTACCAAGCTCCTGGTTATTCCTTGTCACTGAAATGATATCCCACGTGTTGCGGAAGGATCTATTAACTCCGGAGTGGGCTCGAACCATGGTTTGATCGAAATCACTGGGTCCTATGCAAGGCC